TCAATGACTCATCATTGATGTTTCTGTCTCTCTCTCTCCCTCTCCTTTCCTCTCTCTGAAATCAATAAAGATATATTTAAAAAAAATAAAAAATTATCTTTATTGATTTCAGAGAAAGGAAGGAGGAGAGAGAGAGGAAGAGAGAGAGAGAGAAACATCAATGATGAGAGAGTTATCATTGATCTGCTGCCTCCTGCATGCCCCTGACTGAGGATCGGGCCCGCAACCTGGGCATGTGCCCTGACCGGGAATCGAACCGTGATCTCCTGGATCCTAGGTCGATGCTCAACTGCTGAGCCACACCTGGCTGGGCAACATGATTAAATGTTGATATGTACACTTTCTCAGTAAACATGGGTGTTTACTTCTGATAGACCAGCGGTGCACAGTGTTTCCCACTAGCATCATATACTGGTGTACAGTTTACTTTTTGTACTTAATCATATTGTGGAGAGCTTTCAGAATAAGCATACACCATTCTTTTTAATCATTTTTGGCTTCATTGTTATAACTTTGTTAAATCTCCCATTAATGGACATTTGGATTAGTCTCATGTTTTTCTTTATTGCAAACAGTATTTTAATGTACATATGTCTTTATATTTGTCTGACTTCTGTAGGAGGAATTAATAGAAATGAATTTACTTAAACGATGTGTCCTGAAAATGTAAAAGGCCAAATTGACTTGTAAGACATCCACTAGTGATGTGAATGCTGGTTTCCCTACACCCTAGCCAGTTCTTGGAGGGTTTCATCAATTCTGGTCTTTGCTAAGCTAATAGGAGAGAATTATTAAATTGTTTTAATTATTGGGGGGTTGGTTATCATTTACTGTCTTGGTAATTTGTATTTTTTCCCCTGGATTACCTATTTGTGTTCTTATTACCTATTTATCCATTGTTCTAATGGGCATCTTTTTATGTATTTATTCATCAGGACTTTTCATATATTATGGATATTAACCCTGTGTCTATAATGCAGTTGGTTTCCCAGCCTTTGGAGTTGGTATATGGTAAGTTTTATTTTTAATATCCCGTAAAGTGCTAAGGTGCAGTGTTAAGCATGGAGTCTGTGGAGACCTTAATTGTCCTGCTAAAGACATCTGCCTGGCATTTGGGTTTGGGATATGTATATATATAGTCTATAAAATTTTTTGGTATGACTAAATAGAACAAGTATAAAAATCTTACATAAACATATGTATAACTCATGAATACATAGGTATATAAGCATTTCATGTAATTTTTATGATTAAGATGCAAATAGAAGATTTCATAAACATTCATAGGTTAATGAATTATTTTAAGGCAGATATGTTTGCAGCCTTCACCCAGGTCAGGAGCTAGAACTTGTCAGCCATCCAGAAGCTGCTCAAGGCTTCCTTACAATTACAATTATAATCTGGTCCCAGCCTAGTGTGCATCTCTAGTAATTTTGTTCTGTTTTGTTTCATTTTTCACTTGATATGTGATTTTAAGTTTCTCTTAATTTATAGGTTTTCCCCCTAGCCCCTCTCTCTTTTTTTCTGTTGCAAAATATTTGTCAATGAAATTGGATCACCTGTCCTGAGAGTTTCCCAAAGTTTGGATTTGCTGATTGCATCTACATGTAGTTTAATGTATCTTTCTGACTTCTCTACCTCCCAAGATTTGGTAGTCGGATCTGGAGGCTTGGTCAGATTCAGGTTTGCTTATATAGGCAACACTATTTCATAGGTGGTGTGTGTTCTTCCATCGGGAAGTATATCATCTTTCTCCTTTTGTGATGTTAGTAGCCTTGCTGTTCAGTTTGTAGATCCTGTGATTTATTGAGGCTCCAGAGTGGTGATGTTTTAATTCTTGTCATTTCTTTTTGAGCTTGAATTTTTCTATAAAGAGAAACTTCACCTTTTATTACCTTTTAGTACAGTCTGTAGAGGAAAGGTAGGGTATATTCTACATTTTATTTGCCAATTTTCAAAATAGAGTTGGTTCCCTAGCATTCTCCAAGGTGACTGATTCATTTTCTGTTTTTTTTAAGTATTACGAATTTATAGAAATAAACATTGTTTTTTATCATCAGTTTTTTTCATGAGAACCAGGATTCTCTATATGGAAAAGTGAAGATGCAGCTTTAAGATAGAAGATGGAAAAAACTTGTAGTTCTAAATTTGAACATGAAATATCAGTGTAAACTTATGAGGTACTTTTTCCCCTTCTTTATTGTAGTACAATATATGTTACATAAAACATCATTTTAACCTTTTTTTTAGTGTACGGTTCAGTGCTGCCCCTTTTTGTGGTTGTGCTGCATCTGCATTGTGAGAACACTCATTATACACTGTCGTCTCTCCCTTTTTACTTACCTGAGTCTTAACTCTTGAGACACACACATACTCAGTGCTCGCCACCATTCCTTATGTTTATTGTCCAGTCATTTTGGTGGTTTTGCTCATTTGTTAGCTTTGTCAGAAAGGGCTGTGAGCACAACACTCCTGTGTTTCGGATGCTGACCGCAGTGCGTCTGCAACCTTTTATTTGAAAGTCAGGTTGTCTGGATAAAGTTCTTGGGTTACAGTCTTTTTCTTAAAGTATCTTATATTCTTTTTGGCATAAAGCATTACTGTCCAAGTTGGATTATTTTCTTTCCCTCATGAGTCCCTTATCTTTTTGCTTGAAGCCCATGGAATCCCCCCCCGATTTTCCCCAGTGTTAGTACAGTGCGCTTGGTTTTGGTGGTTCTGGAATAGAACGTGGTGTGCTCTTGCCATATGTTGTGTCAGGTCTTTTTTTAATTCTCAATTTCAGGAAAACTAAAGTTTTAGTGTTTGTTTTCTTGCCTTGTTTAGGTTTTCTTCGTTGGGGACTGCTATTATATATCTTCTGTATGTGTCAGTTTTGCTTGGGCTCCTTTCTCTTTATTACTGATCTTTAAACATTTCACCTTTTATCTTAGGACAGTACTGTGTTTATTTGCTGTGAATGATCTTTTTAGTTTAGTCTTTTCCGAAGTTAAGTTTTTCACTGAGTTTTAATGCCCAATTTAAAAAATTTTTCTAATTTCAGTTTATATTACTCACTTTTTCTGTCATTTTCTTGATGTATTTTAATTCATTTTGAGGTATTACAGTTTTCATCGGCTTCCGGGGCACATCTTCCTGGTGCGCTTTTGTTGTCTGTAGGGAGTGTGTTGGCTCCTTACCATCTTTTTTCGTTGTGTGGGGTTTGACCTAGCTTTTCTTCCGTTGCCTGTTTTTACATGAAATGACCTTTCCTGTTCTATTCGGAGGGGCAGGTGGGTCAGGGCAGCTTTCCTAAGCATTTGGTCTTGGACCTCCCTCCTCTGCTTTGGCCGAGTGGCGAGAATGCTGCAGCTCCCTCTCAGGTCTGGTTCTGCTCCCCTTGAGCTGCGCCGCCTCCTTGGCCTACAGTTGTCCTGCTCGGTTTGGAGTCTGTTCTTGTCTCTCCTGTGTGAAAGGTGCGCCACCTGCCCTTTCTGCCTGTATCAGGGACCCCACATCCTTGCGCACTGGGAGAGGGTGAAAAACGGTTCCAGTTCCAGCTGCTGACCCAGTCGCTCCTCCAGACTCCTGTTGAGCGTGGGGCGGGGAGTGGCGGTGGTCTCAGGGCTGTGAGATGCCAGGCCGCTTCCTTCCACTTGACCTTGCACAGACCCTGATGCCAAATTCGTCTTTTTGGTAGTTTGTCCTCAGCCCTTGTATGTTTGGGGGTCTTGGGGGTGGGTAGATGTTTGCCAGGGTTTTCCTATATTAGTTGCTCTCCGTGTCTGTGTGTGGGGGCAGCGGTAGGGAGTGGGGAATGGGCGGGGTATGAGACTAAAAACCTGTGTCACTGTTCTGCCATCTCGCCCGTATCCGCCGGTGCAGGACAGCGCCCGGTGGTGTGTGGAGTCGGGTCCAGTTACGAGTCTGTGGCTTTATAGCTTCTGAACTGACCATCATATTCACTTTATGATTAAAGCAACATATTTGGCTTTTTAGAGGGTTTTTGTTTTCCTTTCTTGCTTTTATATCTGTGACCACAATTTTTCTAAAACCAGTTATTGAATAATCTTATATTTTCTGCCACAGATTTAGAATGTTCCCTTTGAATTTTCTTTCAACTCAGAAATACTACATATACATACATTTAGCTTTTTCCAGGGGTTTGCTTACCCACTTCTATGGAAGAGGAGCCACTATTTTAATTGTAGTAGTTTCTGATAATGTTTTATAATAGGGCTAGTCCCCCTTTCACTGTGCTTTTTCAAAATTCTCCTGGCCTTCTTTACACATTTATCTTACTATATGGACTTTAGAATAATTTTGTCAGGTTAAAAATTCTTTTGAGATTATGGTTGGTCTTTCGTTATATTTATAAGTTAGTCTAGGGAGAATTGGAATCTTTATAGTATCGAGTTTCCTATTTACAAATAAGCAGTATCTCCCCATTTGTTCAAGTTACCTTTTTTATGTCTTTTAATATGGCTTTTTTTTTTGGTTTGCCAGTCCTTGCTAAGGTTAGATGTATTTTTCCATTGCTGATGTGATTAGGTGTTTTTTCCCATATGTTCTGTTGGTTATTGTTTAGGAAAGCTCTTGTTTTGGTGAGTAATTTTTGATAGCCACCTTACTGAATTCTAGTATTTTAAGTTTTTAAATTGACATGCTTGTGGTTACATGTGCCTCATTATACCATGTGTACATTATACCTTTGTTTCCACTATATATACCTCTTTTTAAAAATGTCTAATTGTATTGGCTTGTACCTCCATTTATTCAACAGTGACAACAGTGAACATCTTTTCTGCATGTATTCCTGACTAGTAAGAATGATTCGGGAGCTTTTCCATTAGAGTGTGAGGCAGGCTTTGAAAAAGGGTCTGTTGGCATCTTTCTTTTCTGTCCTATGAATATAATGAACTACATTTATAAATTTCTTAATTTCAAGCCATTTCATACATTCCTTGAATTAATATCCACTGAGACTTGGTATTTTCTTTAATGTCCTACTGGCTTGTATTGGCTAACAATCAGAATTTTATTTTATTCATAAATATGCTTTGTCCATTTTCATTATATTCTGAGCATTTTCAAGTTCATCTTCAATTACTGACTTGGATTTCTGCAGTTTGGTTGACTTGATGCTTCCTATGTGGCTTTGGTTTGGTAAGGTGGTCTCCAGTTTCTGTGCTTAGTTCTACTACGTTCATGCTAATCTCATTTGATTTTATGTCTTTCAACTGTGCTTCTTAGAAGCCACATTCTCTTGACATACATTGAGAATTACAAAACAGTTTATAATTTTGATTTCCAAGGTAGTCTTCCAGATTGCGTTTTTATCTGCTTTTTGCATGTTCCAACACTCTCCCCCCACCTTTCCCAGTTCTGTATCCATGAAAGGACCCTAGCTGAACCTCGTGGTTTGGTGAGGGAGATGGGGTTTCTATCGAGCCTGCCCTTTGCCCAGTATTGGTCAGTAGTGGATCTTCTAGAGCTCTGTGAGCACTGTTCAGGTCCTCCCTGAGGATGAGGGGAAAAGTTGGGTACCAGCTGATTGTAATTTATTCAGAGACTCAGCTGCTTGGGTGGTATTGGGAGGAAGGGGGTGGATTGGTGCTTGCTGTGTCCGTTACGGAGTGGGTGAGCTGTGGCAGCCAATTTCCTACTGAATCAGATGAGCTCTTTTGTCACAGGATCCTATCTGGTAGGGGCTCCCCTCAGGTCAGACCATTCCTTAATCCTCTCCTGTTACTCCTCTGACCCCCTAGGCTGCTGACAGGTGCCTGGGGCAATTAAAAGATCCCCCTCTTCAACGTCACCTTCCCTGCCATTCAAAGGAAGTGGAAATGGCTCCAATTCTAGGTGTTCCCTGCTGTTTTTCTGGGGCCCCTTCTCCTGTGATTCCCTTTCTCCAAGGTAAGGGTTTTAGGGGCATTCTTCAGAACTCTTGTACCATCTTTGCTTTCTCTCCTCTAGAGGGACTTGTGTGCCATTTCACTTTCTCCTTCATTTGGTCTCGGATTTTACTGTACATGGTTTGTAGTCTTCGCTATTCATAGAATTGGTTTGTGTCTATTTCTGTATTGTATTAAAACTACTTTGTCTTTGTTCATTTCAGTGTGTTTTACAGAGGTAAGTTGTACACTCTCTCCCCCAGGAAAAAGTTCTACCCAAGTAGAGCCAATCGAAATCTTACCTTTGTGGTATATATATAAAATCAGGCAGGCAGCTGCCTGTATGTCCAAAGAAATTCTGTTATAGTGAGTAGGGCCAAAATTATGACAAAATAGCATTCATAGGTCTCTAGGTAGAGAAAAGGTGTGAAGAGTTGGGGGTCAGGCAGCCAGTTTGTGGAGAGAGAGGTGGGTCAGCAGAAACGGATCCACAAACAGCAGTGTTGTTACGATAGGACACGTAATGAAGACCCAGGAACCCCAGAGTTCCTCCAGTCTGAAGCCCAATCCGGTCCCATTCTGGGTCCCATTCTTGGTTTCCTGTGATTCCATCTTGCCTTCTTCCTTGGGCTACTCTAGGTTGGTGTCTGCATCTTAAAACCAAAAAAACCTAAAGTAGGTATTTTATTTCACTTTCTGAAGTAGGATCCCAGATCATCAGAGTATGCAGGAGAAGGTGAGTGGGTTAGGGTTTTGGGAAAAAGGACTTGGTCACAGTGAAGAGTGAGAGAAAAAACTTACAAAAAAATGTTTGCCCAGTAGCATTGAGAGTCCAGGAGAGGTTGGAAGCCATGGATTTATAGCGGCATTCTTCAGTGTGGTTGTGGGATTTTCTTTTGGAATCGGCATGTAGGAACCAAGAAGCGGGCTCAGTGGAAGGATCCAGGAACTGAGCCTGTGGGCTGGATGGGGATTGTGCTCACCCTGGGGTCTAGTCTGAGTAGAGATGGGAATGAAGGGAGGGTTCTGATGGGGAGAAAAATTGACAATTGTCAGGG